TGATTAGAAGTAGCAAGAGTAAACATCTTTATCTTGATCCTATTATTAGGGGAAAAACAGTCATTTATCATTAAGTATGTTAGTTGTGGGTTTTTCATAAAGCCCTTTATTAGGTTGAAGTTCTCTTAAACTCCAGTTTGTTGAGTGTTTTTAATCATAAAAGAGTGTTAGATTTTGTCAAATGTTTTTTCTGTGCCTATTAGGATGATTATGTCATTTTTTTTTTATTCTATTGATATGGTATATAATGTTAATAGATGTTCAGAGATTAAAAACCAGCTTTGCATTTGGGATAAATCCCACATTTTTATGATGTATGATTCTTTTCATATGTTGCTGGGTTTGGCTTGTGTTATTAGTCCATTCTCATGCTGCTATAAAGAAATACCTGAGACTGGGTAATTTATAAAGGAAAGAGGTTTAATTAACTCATAGTTCTGCATGGCTGGAGAGGGCTCAGGAAACTTATAATCATGGGGAAAGGGGAAGCAGGCACCTGCTTCACAGGACAGCAGAAGTGAGAGAAGTGTGTGAAGGAGGAACTGTCAAACACTTATAAAACCATCAGCTCTTGTGAGAACTCACTATCACAAGTACACTATGGGGGGAACAGCCCCCATGATCCAATCACCTCCTTCCCTCAAGATGTGGGGATTACAGGTCCCTCCCTTGACACAGGGGGATTATAATTTGAGATGAGATTTAGGTGAGGACACAGAGCCAAACCATATCAGTTTGTTAGTATTTTGTTAAGAATTTGTTATATTTTGAATTGATTCTTTTCTTTTCAACCCTTTAACAGTGGGTAAAGTACAATATATTCAAGTACTGTTAGCTAATTATTGCATTTGAGGATTCATTGAGTGCTAAAGATAATCTGCAAGGTCTTGACATGTAGTGATTTGCATTTTGAGGAATCACATGTTTAGTAAATTACATACCACAGGAACAGTGTACATGGTGTCATTTAGCTAGTAAAACTAGCCAAAGAATAAGCTTTCAAATCCCCAAATGGTTCTATTCTCTAATTTTTATTTTATCAAGCATTTTGGGAGCAAAATTATATGCCAGAGTGGCATACTTCACATGAAGCCTGTTCCTCTCAAGGCCCAGTTTTGGCACAGAAGATTATTAAAACACTAAAACAAAAAAAACCTGTTCGAAACCAAGAATAATTTTTTAAAACTTTTTTTTAAAACTCTTAAAGAACATCACATGTGATCCAATTAAACTCTCACAGAACTTCTTAAAATCTTTTCCCCGGCCGGGCGCGGTGGCTCACACCTGTAATCCCAGCACTTTGGGAGGCTGAGGTGGGCAGATCATGAGGTCAGGAATTCAAGACCAGACTGGCCAACATGGTGAAACCCCATATCTACTAAAAAATACAAAATTAGCTGGGCATTGGTGGCTCACGCCTGTAATCCCAGCTACTTAGGAGGCTGAGGTAGGAGAATTGCTTGAACCAGGACCCAGGAGGCTGAGGTTGCAGTGAGCCAAGATCATGCCACTGTACTCCAGCCTGGGCTACCAGAGCAAGAGAGACTCCATCTCAAAAAAAAAAAAAAAAAAAAAATCTTTTCCCTATTCTTTTCCCTCTCAATTGCTCACAGAAAAAGCCACAATTTAGGGTTTTGTTTTTCTTTGTTTTGTTTTTTTTAATACAGAGTCTCACTGTTTTGCCCAGGATGGAGTGCAGTGGCGTGATCTCCACTCACTGCAACCTCCGCCACCCGTATTCAAGTGATTCTCTTGCCTCAGCCTCTGGAGTCGCTGGGATTACAGGCACCCACCACCACACCCGGCTAAATTTTGTATTTTTAGTAGAGACAGGGCTTCACCATCTTGGTCAGGCTGGTCTTGAACTCCTGACCTCAAGTGATCCACCTACCTTGGCTTCCCAGAGTGCTGGGATTACAGGAGTGAGCCACCACACCCAGTCTTTTTGTTTTGTCTTTTTTTTTCTCCTCATCTCCTGCCTTCCTATATCCATTCATTTCACCTCTACTAGTAGAGAAGTTGTACATTTGTGGCCGTAGGCCAAACACATGAGTGTTTAATAGTGTTTTACAAGTAAATTTAATTAGTTGTCAACATTTGCAAGTGGGCAAATGAAACATAAAAATCTGTATTTTTGACTTGTGTCAAGAAATCTCTTAAAAATTTGAAGATTTAGGAAAATGTTGCCTTCATTTTACAACTGCATAGTAGTGAATAGAGACTGCCTTCTTCAAATATGACATGTCTCTGTAGTTTGCCAGTGTTTACACTCCCTATTGTTTACTTACAGCAAATTTTACTATTTATAATATAGACCTGGCCCCTATAAATATTGGAGTTGGTGCTTTTTAATGCTGTCCTTTCCAAAGTAAATTAGCCTTTCTCGGATTCCTTCCAATTTTGCAACTTTTCTGTTATATTGAATAGCATTTAAAAGATCTGAGAGCTCAGCAGGATCCCTTGAGAACTCTCAAGAGTCCAGAGGTGAGCTATAGCTTTTTGGACACTATTAAGCATTAACAAAATCTCTGTGCAGAACCCTATCAGTTAGAGCAGAGAAAACTCACACAACAAATTAGAGTAACTTTTTAATGTAAGATCTCATTCTGGGATGGAAAACCAGCTCTGAGAGAATAAAAAAGGGAGAATGCTTGGCCATCTGTGCCAGTGATTGTTAGAAAAGCAGTGATTTACAAAATTGGTCTCCTAGCAGAAGACAGAGGGATGGAGACAGAAAATACTATAGTAATATCAAGGGGAGCTCTGAGAAGGAATTGCAGCATCAGTGACTTACCATAAATGACATACATACCTCAGCTAATAAATTGAGAGTGGTTACTTTCTCTGGAAGTGTCTCCTGTAAGGCTGTACAAATCTCTTGACTGTAGGGAAACAATTGTGCTTACTTTAGTCTGTTTCCGTACTCTACACTTTAAATTTTTACTTGTATTTCTCAAAGACCTTAAATATCTTAGAGATACTGAGACAACTTTGTAGTATTTAGTATTTGCTACAATTTTCTTCTAAAACACATTCTCCATCCCCTTCAATAAGAATAGATTTCATTAAGGCTGGGGGCAGTGGCTCTTGCCTGTAATCGCAGCACTTTGGGAGGCTGAGGCATGCGGATCACCTCAGATCAGGAGTCCGAGACCAGCCTGGTCAACATGAAGAAACCCCATCTCTACTAAAAAAATACAGAAATTAGCTGGACATGGTGACACACACCTGTGATCTCAGCTACAGGAGGCTGAGGCAGGAGAATTGCTTGAACCCAGGAGGTGGAGATTGTAGTGAGCCAAGATTGTGCCACTGAACTCTAGCCTGGGTGACAAAGTGAGACCTTGTCTCAAAAAAAAAAAAAAAGGTTTCATTGAAAATTTAAGCTAAAAACAAGACCACAAATCAAAAGTTGCATTTGCAATTCATGTACATGTTTGGACTTTTAGATTACATTTCAGCAATCCTGTATTTAACAATGGTAAGTAACATGTATGCAATTGGCAAAACAGAGTGAAGTCTGGTTGCCTAAATGTCATTATATACTCATTATTGTATAATTAATTTCTACTTGTTTTTAACCAGTTATTTTAGAAAGCAGATCTCTTTAGTAATTAATTGAATAATTTTTGGTTGATAAAAATATTTTGATGTCAGATGGAATGCAGTAATTTAGACCACATTAGGTTAGTATACTGTCACTAAGTGTGTGTGTGTACACACACACACACAACTTGCTCATTTATGTTCCTTCTCCAAGCTATTTGTTAATATTTGCATATGTAGACCAAATAAAACAGTATGTGTGCTTAAATACACATATATACACTCAGAACAATTATATATAAAGTGCTTAGATTTCTGGCCGGTGGTAAACCCTCAATAAATATTGGCTGCAGTTTTTGTAATTCTCATTAATATTCTCTCCCAAAGGTTCTTTACAGTGCTTTGCCTCCCAAGTACTTGGATCTCATCCTCGCATGCACACATTTTCCTGTTTTGTTTGTTTGTTTTTAGTTTATTTTTTGAGACAGGGTCTGCTTCTGTTGCCCAGGCTGGAGTGCAGTGGTGGGATCACAACTCATCTCAGCATACAATTCCTGGGCTCAAGCGATCCAATCTCCCACCTCAGCCTTCCCCAGTAGCTTGGACTACAGGCACGCACCACCATGCTCGACTAATTAAAAACAAAAAAATTTAGTAGAGACAAGGCCTCCCTATGTTACCCATGCTGGTTTCAAACTGCTGGACTCAAGTGATCCTCCGCCTGGCATCCCACAGCGCTGGGATTACAGGCGTGAGCATACACTTCATCAAATCTTATTCCTACTCAACTGGATACAGACAGTTGCTGGACAAATATGACTTTCCTACACTGTTTAAATTCGTTTTTGAAAACCTCCAAATAGCAAATCTCATCAGTTGCAAAACACCAAGTAATGCGTAGTGCTTCGACCCGTTTTTTCCTGTCCTCGACCATGTGCCCTGTTTCTTGCTACCAAGCAGAGGTGAATTAGCTGCATAAATAACCACAAATTCCCCATGAACATAGTGATCGTCGTGTATCTATAATAATAATTCTACTTATGAAACTCAAGGTTTGAGGAGAGAGATTCCCTTCTTTCAGGGCATGTAGAAAACTTCTCACGGACAGAATTACTCACATCTTTGGGACTGTCTCCCTTTTAAGTCCTGGAAGACCAGATAAATCGCATGTGAACCTACAGAAACAGAGAGCTTGGTATACGCAGAAGTCTATACGTTACAGATTATCGAACGGCGACCTGCGGCCATCCGGCTGCTGCGCATGCGCCGCAACTGCCGCTAGCTCCCGCTGGTAGTACTTGGTTCTTCAAGTCTTGGCACTTCGCCGGCTCTTCCCCAGACTTCCTTTCGAACTTCCCGGTCACGGCAGAACCCACCAATCACAAACGTCCTTCCTCAAGCCACGCCTGCCATTCCCTACGGGCACCCAAACCCGATTTCGCGCACACCCCTCCCTTCCTTTCCTTACGCACGCTGCGCGCGGACGTCGGCCTCTGACGTCGTCGCCCCAGCGACGGCTCCCGGCCGGGCTGCGGCCGCCGACCGTTGGGCAGCATGCTGAAGTCCCTCCCTTAGGAACCCCCTCTCGCCACCCTCCACCTCCGAACCGCTCTCCCAGCGGCGACCCATGTGGGGGTTCAGGCTCCTGCGGTCGCCGCCGCTGCTGCTTCTGCTGCCGCAGCTCGGAATCGGAAACGCCTGGTGCTGCTCTCAGGCCAGAACCATGAACCCGGGCGGCAGCAGCGGCGCGCGATGCTCCCTCTCGGCCGAGGTGCGCCGCCGGCAGTGCCTGCAGCTGTCCACTGTGCCCGGAGCCGATCCTCAGCGCAGCAACGAGTTGCTTCTGTTGGCGACGGCCGGGGAGGGGCTGGAGCTGCAGGACCTCCCCGGGGACCCTGCGAAGGAGGAGCCGCAGCCGCCGCCCCAGCATCACGTTCTTTATTTCCCTGGAGATGTGCAGGTAACTCGGGGCCTGCCTGGGTATCTGTTCCCTCCTGTTGTGTCGTGTCTTACACGGCCACCAGATTCTTTCCTTGTGGCTGCTGCTGGGTTCCTTTGCTTATCTGAACACACCCACACATTCACTTATGAGGGTGACTTTACCGTTACTCCGCGAAATCCAAAACCGCGCCTTCCGTGCCCCTGGCGCCCTGTGTCCTTAGAGCCCCATGGGGAAGGTGTCCCAGGAGGGCTGCGATCTCGAAGGAGCCACCTGTCAGTCCGGGCTTCCAGGAGGTGGAATTTGAGACCGGAAATGAGACGCGTCTTGTATATTCATTCTGTAATTTGGTTTCTCAGAGGATTCTGTGTGTGTGTGTTGGGCAGGGAACAGAGAGATGGCTTTTAAATTAGCACGTAGTGTTTAGAAAACGGTGGCAGTAATTAAAAACCAACCAATCAACCCAGCAACCCTAAAAAAAAGTGGGGACTGGTGGGAGAAAAGGGGCAATAATTGTTAAGCATGTCAGTGTTTTGATGCTCAGCTCATTTTGTACTTTTGCTTTTGCATATTAGGTTTATTTTATAGCTGCAGGCAAATATCTGTGGTTCTGTTGCCCTGAAAACTGGGTTTTAATCTAAAGTTATTTTAATATGGTAGCCATTAGCCTTATGTAGCTATCTGAATTAATTTAAATTAAATTAAAAATCTAGTTACCCAGTCATACTAGCTGCATTTCAAGTGCCAATAGCTACAGATGCCTTGTGTGTGCTGTATTGGACAGCACAGCTATATGGCATTATCATAGAACATATCCATCATCATAAATCATTCTAGACAGGTAGAGCTAGAATGTAGCTAAATGTGTTTCTCTGTTTTTTGTTTTTTGTTTTTTAGACAAAGTCTTGCTCTCTTGCCCAGACTGGAGTGCAGTGGCACAGTCTCGACTCACTACAACCTCCGCCTCCCAGGCTCCAGCGATTCTCATGCCTCAGCCTCCTGAGTAGCTGGGATTACAGATGTGCACCACTACAACAGGCTAATTTTTGTACTTTTAGTAGAGGCGGGGGTTTCACCTTGTTGGCCAGGCTGGTCTCAAACTCCTGACATCAAGTGATCTGCTGCCTTGGCCTCCCAAAGTGTTGGGATTACAGGCGTGAGCCACAGCACCTGGCCTAGATCAGTTTCTTATACTATGAAACTACATCAGTTTATTTTCAAAACTGATGCTTTAAGATGACATACTTAGAAACTTTATGCTCTGAGTCAAATAATGATTAAGATACACGCACACTCCGGGTGCGGTGGGTCAAGCCTGTAATCCCAGCACTTTGGGAGGCCGAGGCGGTTGGATCACGAGGTCAGGAGATCGAGACCATCCTGGTCAACATGGTGAAACCCCGTCTCTACTAAAAATACAAAAAGTTAGCTGGGCATGGTGGTGCACGCCTGTAGTCCCAGCTACTCCGGAGGCTGAGGCAGGAGAATTGCCTGAACCCAGGAGGTGGAGGTTGCGGTGAGCCGAGATCGCGCCGTTGCACTCCAGCCTGGGTAACAAGAGCGAAACTCCGTCTCAAAAACAAACAAACAAACAAACAAAAAACAAGATACACACACACACATACATACATATATGTATGTGTATATACTATATACATATATATAGTATTTTCTTATATGTATGTATATTATATGCATATATATAAGAATTATGTATACATATATATAAGTATATTAGTTATCTGCTAATAAAAACGGGAGAAAAAAGTAGTATTTAGATTTAAGAGAAAATACGTCGTTTACTCACTTGGTTCCCTTGTGGCTCAGACTGGGAAAATAGAATGTGACATTTCTGACTATGACTATAATTTTGTGGAACAATTATTGCATACATTCCTAAAATGATGATGATAATGGTAATTAACATTTACTGAGCACCTCCTAAAGTATTTTTAAAGTGTACCAGCCAGGATATAATAAAAAGTCTTACATACAGTTTGAGGCTTTTTTTGTTCTGTTTTTGTTGTTTTGTTTTTTCTGTTTTGAAGCCAGATTGCCTGTGTTTGAACCTTGCTGATTTAGAACTTTTTACATATAAAATCCCTGGACAATTGTTAAATCTGTTTCAGCTACCTCAACTATAAAATAGGAATAATAGTTTATAAGGTGTCAATGGAAATTAAATATGTGAATACTCAATGAGTTCTGGTCCCTTCTCATCTCTCTGGTGACTTTAAAAATTATTATGTATCCTAGTGGTCTTTTCTTCTACATTTCCTCTGTCTGTGTTCACTCCTTTCATTCATGGCTTTACTCACTACTTGTACCCTGACAACTCTCAACATTTATGTATCTAGCCTACATACACTCCCCAAACTTTAGGCTGACAAATTAATATGCATGATTATTTCCTTTTGGATATTTAATAGATATCCTAAACCTAAAATCTCTGGATCTTTACTCCTATGCAGTCTTTCTCATGTTGTTAATGGAAACTTTACCTTCTCAGTTGCTCAAGATAGAAATCTTTAAGTCATCCATTAGAAATCTCTTTCATACCTCTTATATCATCATTCTACTGACTTTACCTTCTCAGTGTATCTAAAGTAATCAGAATAACCATTTAGAAACATAAGTCAAATCATTTCACATCTGCTGAAAACTCTGCAGTCGCTTCCTATGTCACTCAGAATAAGAGCCAGAGTCCTTCCTGTTAATGTCCTGTCTTGCATGGCTTTTCATTAATCTCTGTCTTACCCCAACCTGTTACCTATCAAACTTGGTCTCCTGTTTCTGTTTACTCTAATCCAGCCTCTTTGGCTTTCTTGGTGTTGCTCAAACATGTCAGGCCCACTATACCTAAAAACCTTTGTGCATACTGCCTAGAAGAGTCTTCCTGTAGATATCTGTAGGTTTATTACCTTACCTCTTCCATATCTGCTCAAGACTTTGCCTCTCTGAGGCCTTTTCTGACCATCCTAATTAATAATCACGGTATACATAGGCTTTCTGTCAACTTTTCTTCTTTATTTTTACCTATTGCATTTACTGTACTAGTTACTTTTCATTTTGTTTGCCTTCTGCCACTAAAATATAAGCTCATGTCTTTTCACTGATATAAACTGTGATGCTTGAGAGTGGCATGTAGTAGGTGTGCATTAGATGACTTGTTGCATAAATCAGTATTTGTGAGTTTCTTTGAACAATGCATGAAGTGCTTGAAATGTGTTGGCTATTATATAAAATGCTTTTAGGCTAATTTCCTCATCTTTATTTCTGTACTTGATTCTTTTGAGCCTGATATTCTTATGAATTTTTTGCTGTTAAATATAGCCCATCTTTTTATTGTGTCGATCCTTTTATTTTCTTTTATTGTTATTTTTTGCAGAGATGGGGGTCTCACTATATGGCCCACTCCTGTGCTCAAGTGATCCTCCCACCTCAGTCTTCCAAAGTGTTGGGATTATAAGTATGAGCCACCACACCTGGCCAAGCATTCTTTTATAGCTTTATTCTTAATTTGAATAAACATTGAACAGATTAGGGCTAAACAGAATTCTATAAGATAGCATTAGAAGCTTTGCCTATCTTTTTTTTTTTTCTTAAGATGGAGTCTTGCTCTATTGTCCAGGCTGGAGTGCAGAGGTGTGTTCTTGGCTCACTGCAGCCTCTGCCTCCTGGACTCAAGCAATTCTCCTGCCTCACCCTCCTGACTAGCTGGGACTACAGGCACACACCACCACACCCAGCTAATTTTGTGTATGTGTGCTTTTAGTAGAGACGGAGTTTCACCATGTTGGCCAGGCTGGTCTCAAACTCCTGACCTCAAGTGATCCTCCAACCTCAACCTCCCAAAGTGCTGGGATTATAGGCATGAGCTACAGCGCCCAGCCTGAAGCTTTGCCTATCTTGATACTGTTTCATTATTTGGTGTTAATTAGAACTGGTTATTCATATAATTTTAAGTCCTTTTAATTTCCATTAACTTCTTGATGTTCCTTTTGCAGTCATCTTTTGTTGTATATCCTTTTAAAAAATTCCATACTTGTCCTTTATCATTTGAATTACAGGAAAGCTAAGGCCATATATATTAGTCTATTCTCAGCTGCTAATGAAGACATACTTGAGGCTGGGTAATTTATAAAGGAAAGAGGTTTAATTGACTCAGTTTCACAGGGCTGGGAGGCCTCAGGAAACTTAAAATTATGGCAGAAGGGGAAGGAAATGCTTCTTTTTCACATGGCAGCAGAAAGGAAAAGAATGAGAGCAAAGATGGGGGAAGCCTCTTATAAAACCATCAGATTTCATGAGAACTCAGTACCATGAGAACAGCATGAGGGTAACCTCACCCATGATCCAATTACCTCCCACTGGGTCCCTTCCACAACACATGGGGATTATGGGAACTACAATTAAAGATGAGGTTTGGATGGGGACACAGCCAAATCATATCATTCCACCCCGGGCACCTCCCAAATCTCATGTCCTTACATTTCAAATCATAATCATGCCCTTCCAACAGTCCCCCAAAGTCTAACTCATTCCAGCATTAACTCAAATGTCCAAGTCCAGAGTTTCATCTAAGACAAGGCAAGTCCCTTTCACCTATAAGCCTGTAAAATCAAAAGCAAGTTAGTTACTTCCTAGATACAATGGGGTACACGTTTGGGGTAAATACACCCATTCCAAATGGGAGAAATGGACCAAAACAAAGGGGCTACAGGTCCCATGCAAGTCCAAAATCCAATAGGACAGTCATTAAACCTTAACGTTCCAAAATGATCTCCTTTAACTCCATGTCTCACATCCAGGTCACACTGATGCAGGAGTTGGGCTCCTATGGCTTTGGCCAGTTCCCCGCCTGTGGCTTTTCATGGTACAGCCCCTCTCCAGGCTGCCTTCATGGCTAGTGTTGAGTGTGGCTTTTCCAGGCACACGGTCAAGCTGTTGGTTTAGCTACCATTCTGGGGTCTGGATGACAGTGGCCCTCTTCTCACAGCTTCACTAGGTAATGCCCCAGT